ACATTTAACTTTCTGTACTTCAAGAACCAGTATGTTACAAACTCTAACTACTGTGATTCGTTGTGATCTTGCTATGGCACGAAACAGTGCAAAAACACATGATTGCACCAGTCCGCCTGGTGCGTTCTAGCCTGGGTTTGCATTTACTATTGTGATTGCTCAGTTACCATGAACAGGCCGCGAGCTGTGCCGGCAGAGATATGTGGGGGCGAAATAACTGCTGAGCCAGGAAACAGACTAATTTCTTGCCATGTCAAATTCACACTATCAGACACGAGGCTTATCCTGCTGTAGTTGGTCAGACTGGTTGGTTTGTATTAAAGAGCATTGCTGATGAACATTTTAATTATTTTCGTTTGAAACACACTTGCTCAACTGTAGATGCAAACACATCATAACCCCAACGCACTGAGACCGCATGTTAAAGCACTATAGAGACAACAGGAGAAACAGTCCGAAGATTAAGACTACCGGTTTTGGCCAGTGAAAACATATCCACTCATCAGCTGTGTTGAGCCTGTTTTCAAAACTCGCCCTCAGCATATACAGAGCAGTAGCAGAGCACTCTTCGATGGCGCGAGGTGCAACTACAAACTCCGAAAAATAGGCCAGAAACCGTTTACGCGTGCGTTCATTGTGCTTTGCCCAACGTTCTGACAGTCCAGCCACTCAGCAAAACATTACTCAAATCGTAAGCAGAGAGCATTAGACTATCTTCACTATGCTCCCCAAATCGAATACAAACCCGGGGTGCATCAAGCCTGCCGCTGTGATAATGCACTTTTGTGCTAAACTTGAAGCAGTCACTTAGTTAACAGCATGAATAGATTCCTGCATTACACTTTAATATGTGGGCACATGTGAAGTGTATTTTGGCCTTCTCTTGCACCCAGGGGGAAAAGGCGTCGGCCAGGATGGCAGTGTTACGTTATGCGGTCGCGTGAAGCTCCAATGTGCATGATTATCAATTCTGCACGGAGAGGAATGAATAATTTTGACCGATCGTTCATTGAAAGGAAGATGTGAGAATAACGTCACGAAAGAATTATGAAATCAGTGAAATGCACTCACTTTGAAGTTTGTAATAAAATTGAGCGTCACCATGCTCTAGCACAGGAGATT